TAACACTATCTGTCTCACCCAGAAAATGAAACAAAAACAACACTGAAGGTAATACTAAGCAGAAATAAAAAAAAATAGACAGACAGGAGCTTCAGATTATTTCTTTCATGCAGTATCATTATCTTTTTCTCAACAGCTTTGAAATACATATATATCACGTTCAACACTACTGTCTGCAAATTATGTTCTGAAGAATAACAGAAAATTCTAATTCACCCAAATAGAGAACACCAAGTACAAAACAACAAGATAAAGCTATTTCCTATTCACAATATTTAGAAATTCCAAAGCGAAACTAAATTGGCATACATGCCTGATACTCAGTGCTTAACTTAATTAGGTATCTTTATGTCTATACAGAAATATTCAGAACTAATAGAATGATTTGGTAACTGTTGTTAAATATTCGTACTGTAATCGAAAAAGAGCTCTTTCTTACAGTATGTACTGTATCAGTATTAGTTCTGTGATAATGGGTGTATGTTACTGTAGGTCCTTTATGCTTCCTTGAGTGTAACGAACAGTTCTTCCCGGACCCTATGCTGACGACACAGTCCGACGGAGTGGGGAAACACTGGGGAAACGTCATGCAGGAATACGGGGCTGAAGACAGGGGGGCGTGTCCAAGGTGCGCTGGTGCACGGGGGAGGTGTGGCCGAGGTGAACAATCCGAGAGAGTAGTCCTTTGGGAATATCCAAGAACACACGAGAAAGTCCAAAACCAGAAGATCCATCAGAACAAGTTAAAAACCACGAAGGCCGGGTCGGGACCGGGCGCTTCCAGGTCCCGGACTCGCACGATATGGAAATCAGATGCAGAGCCCTGAAGAGCGTCAGCGCCTGGCTTTTAAGGTGGGCAGGGAATGGGAAACAGGTGCAGAGAATGAAGTCTTAAGTGAAAGGGCTGGAGCACCCTTAAGGAGGGGGAACTAATATTGTGACATTGAGTTTCTCGTGAATTTCACAGTACTCTCATCAGGACTAGTTTGTCTATTACCAGTAAACAACCAGGTCTTCACAAATGACTTTTTGAAAGACCTTCCCGTCCAGCTAGTTGAATGTTAGTAAAGGGACCACCTGAAATGCCTTTTGATCCCCTTAATGTGCACATCACCCTAATTATCTCTGCATCATGCCTCCTTTCTTTAGGAATGTGAAAACGGTCTTCATTTCTTTATCTAGTGAAATAAGGGAATGAGTAAATAAACGTCGCTCTCTGACACTGTATATTTTTTTTACCTAAAAGGTGATTTATTCTCAGTATCCTTAAGCAGGAAAAGGCTTGGCTTCTTCATTTGTCACGCCACCCTCTACTTCCTCCAAAAACCAATTTGGTCCTGTGGTTAATTCATCCCCCTCGCACACCCACATGTTAAGTTCTTATGTTGCTGTTGCCTCAAGGATTAATGCTTTTGTTTTTTTCTTTAACTCTGAAAAGCATGTAGACTTTTCTTTTCTAACACTGAAAGGAAAAAAAAATACTTAACATTGCTATCAGTCTTTTTTTTCTACTAATTACCTTCCTAACATTGTGCCCACAGCTCAGCATGATTTTCAGTGGCGCATTCCTAATAAATGGCTAACCTAATAAAGGTTTACACTGCAGAAGGAAAGGCTTAAGCTTCCTGCTATGGAAGCATGATAAACTTCCTGAGTCAGATGATTTTAAGCAGATCTTTTATTTGAATTAATATTTTATTACTCCAATTTGTCTTTGCTTTATGTGATAAATAATAATCAACAACAACAATAATAATAATAGTTCTAGTTTTCTTATTATTATTGAGAATCACATGAGAAACTCACATAAACAAAAAACAGAATAAATATAAACAAAGCAGAATATTCTTCAGTGTCTGTAGAATTATTTTCTTTCATCAAGCTCCCTCCCTGTTTTGAAGTTGGAGTTTTAGTCCTGTGAACAGTACTCTCCCTATATTAATTATGTGGCCTTGGGGTCTGAAAAGAAATCCAATTATCACTTTACACAAATGCCCCGCTCCAATGTCATCTTAAATTATTCCATTTAATTCTCGTTTGTTTTATAGGACTTTGTTTTAATTAGCATGAAAATTCAAATTAAGAAGTGCTTTTTAATTTATCTACCCTGCAGTATGGCTTTCAAGGTATGTTGTTTTAAAAGAAATTAAAGATGAATTTTGTAGAAACCCAGCACACCCTTTGGTATACATCTCCCCAATCTGTATTATTGCATTGTAAAGGTGGATGTTTGTATATTTATCACAAGATGTATCTTTAATGGGTTTATAATAATCAGCATTTCAGAGATCACTACCAGCTGAAGAGTGAAAGTTAAATATTTCTATTATAGTTTCCCTTGAAGAAAATCAATACTTTTGGCCACAACCCAAGATCCCACCTATTAAATGTATCAGACAAAACCACAGCCCCCAGAACATCTCACAAGTCCCAAAAAAGGCCTGGTGTAAATATCAAAAGATAAACCTTAAAGGATGTTTTTTTCTTTTAGAGGGTTTTCCTTTTTCCTATTTAAAGGTTAAATTTCTACATCATAGAACTTTATACTGTATGTTTAACTCAGCTCATGGTTATTATTTCTGTAGCGTTTTGATATATCCTGATTAAGCCTTTAACACATTAAGTTACGAAATGTGAACATTTTAAAAAACAATTCTGAAGAGAACTTAATGGCAGATCAACATTTTTCAGTTAGAAAATAGAAGTGCTTTGGGATGTACAGGAACATGGTTTGTAAAAGTTCTGTAAAACAGATTATCTGATCTCTGCAACATTCTTTATAAGAAGAAAGAAAACACAACGTTTCGGCTGTGGAGCCTTCTTCAGGTGTGAGAAGAAGGTGGAGCCTTCAGGTGGCTGCAGGTGGAGCCTTCTTCACACCTGAAGAAGGCTCCACGGCCGAAACGTTGTGTTTTCTTTCTTCTCTTTTCAGCAGGAATAAACCTATTACTTGTTCCTTTGCAGCCTACATATTTTGAGTCTCCAAAGTGGTCTAAATGCAAAGGATAAAGTATGAAAAACAAAGCAATCTTTACTATTTTGACTTTGCTGTTACAAGTAGTTTCAACATCTAGAGCATTTTACTTTCAATAAATTGGCTCTATAAATTGGCTTCATTACCCTGCTCCCCTCCCCACTGAACGCTGATGTGTGGGGAGCGTTCTGGCACACTATGGCTGCCGTCGCATCATCCAGGTGGGGCTGCACATTGGTGGCGGTGGAGGGGATCCCCATTACCTGTAAAGCGCTTTGAGTGGAGTGTCCAGAAAAGTGCTATATAAGTGTAAGCAATTATTCATTATTATTAATTAATCAAGATCAGAAACAAATCCCTCCCAAAATAAAGAGCCTTATCAGTTGTGAATATTTTAACAATAGCAAATATACTTAACTAAATACATAATACATTTGCTTACTGAGGAAGATACTATCAATGCCTACAGTCTGAGAATCCAAATTTAGGCAGAGAAAAGGCAATTGAAATTCAATGTACTGTATATGCAATACACATCAAGGATTTACATTACAAATACAAAAAGGGAGGTGTGTTTTTTGACATTTGCTTTTTCTTACAGATAACGTGTGGAGTTAAAACATTTAGTCAAATGCACAGAAATCAAGGGGGGAAAGATCTTTTCTGAAGATTTTGAAGACAAACAAAATGTGAAGCACAGTGCATGAAAATGAAATATAATATAAATGTATCTGATTTTCACTTTATGGCGATGAAGTACAGTACCTGTTTCTAAAATGGAATCATATAGTATCTTTCTGTTTATTCCCAGGAGTTTTGCTCTGACACACACATTGTCAGCCTGTGTGTCTTCTTTCATTCTGCATCAACAGCTGAGTTTAGCACTGGATGGAGAACACATATCGCCCTCACTGATTGCCTCTCACACTGAATAGGACATACTGTAGCTGCTTTTTTAGTTGAAGTGTTGTCGTCTTCAAGCAGTTCTAATGCATCTAATTGACATAAAATAGAAATAAATCTGTACCATCTGTTTTTTCTAGCATAAGAAACTCAAGAAGCATGAAGGAAAAATAGGAACAGCATATTGTGTTCATTTTAGAAAATGTGGCCTTTTCTCTTCTTCTGATGAAGAAGGAAGAAAATAAGTGGCATATGAAGTAAATGAAAAATTACTTTAGCAATTTACTATACATGGTTTAAAATAATTCTACATATAATGAATGCCGTAAAATATGCGCTAGATATTGAAGATGCTGAACATATTAAACACAGATTGACTCTAATATTTATGAAAAACTCACTTTTGCAGACTGAATCAAGGTTAAATACACCAGTACAGTACTGTTAAAGTACAGTAATTTACATTGCCTTAATTCGTATTCCGCTTGATCATTTTAAAATTTGATATCTGTTTTCTGAGATATTCTGCTGCTGTCTCTGTGTTGAACCTAATGTGCCATGTAAACTAACTGGCTTCTGAAAATAGTTCCTGAAGAGCATATGAGAGTCAATGAAGTGAGGAAGCACACTGGGGTAGCATGGGCTGCAGTTAACAATGCGTTTTAATTTTGTTTAACCTCTGGCCACACAAAATAATTTACTGCTAGTTTGTTTACCCATCAAATACTCTGATTTGTGCTGGGTGAAAGGGGGAAAAAATGCAAATGGTCTTAGGCTAAGCAGCAGACAAAAAAAACACGCAGAACATGATAAGCATATGTAATAAATTACATAAAATTGGAAAAGATGTAACGGATAACGTTTTTAATATTGCTTGTAAAAGTGTGCTCATACATTAAGGGAATGTTGATCTGCAAGGAAAAGGCAACAATTCATGGAAAGGTTTTTTAAATGCTAATATTTTTTAAATTTAATTTTTAATGTTTTTCTTAAATTGTCCCTCTTATTTTCACACATTGAGGCAAGTGTCTTTTCATGTTGGAGGCATGCCTATTCACAAAATATACATTTATGAATAGATATACATATTATATATTTGTGAATACTGGGCAATCAGGCAATTTCAGGACTCTTGCTTGATAGTCAAACAATAAGAGATAGCTTACTCGTGTGATGCTGAATGTGCTTTTCATGTTTGAAACAACGGTAGTTGTTTGATTTAATTTCTTGTTTTCTTTTTTTGCAATTATGTGAAAATAAACAAAGGTTATCATTCATACACAATTAAGTACTACCATTGCTTAATCAGACACAGAAGGATGTTTCGAAGTATTAAATGGTGTGCAAATGGTGACAAAAGAGTAAATCCAAAAGTTGCCACAAAAGTCATGACAAACACTGGCCTAACTAGTTTTCCATTAGAAGTTCCATAACAATGTAGAAACAGCAGGTTATGTTACACAGGTAACTCAGATAAGACTTTGACAAAGATTAACATGCTGTACCAGGAGTGCCTGGTTAAATACTCTGAATCTAACCCCTGGCTCCTATTGATGGACAGGAAGCCTCCATTTAAACAAGAGGTGGGAATATGTACCCTTCATACAACATAGTGGAGCAAACAAGTAAGGACAACATTTTCAAAATATAAACAAAACACAAAGAGAATGACTTTTTATACCACGATAAGGATAACAGGTGAGCAAGTGAAGAAGGTTAAAGATAAAAGTGTACACCAGCCCTTTATAACAACAACATGCCAAGATGTCCAATAGAAAAGACTGTACAGATTGTGTAGAGAACACCTGCATTTAGACCAGTTTCAGTGACTGAAACTGAATTCATGATAGACACTTTAATTACACAACCTGATGTTAAGTCTCTCTTATATTAGTGTTTTTGCTACCCAAACTCTTGAACACAAACAAAAAACACATTTAGCAGAAAGCATTGTTCTTTAATTTTATTTTCTAAAAGCTAAATATGCAACCCCTTTTTCATATTTGTCTTTCCTGTTCTACTCAGAGGTGTACTTTGAAATCTGAAGAAGCTGATAATAGCCTCACTTCACAAGAGTTGTAAACAAACAGGGTGCAGCATAAACTAGCATTCCTTGAGATGTGTTGTCAGTGTTATGACTTCCACTTTCAGTAGATCAGAAATGTTCTTTAATTGTAACAAGCTGATTTTAGTTTTTTCTTCTTCTTTCTTTTCAGTTTCTAGTGAGGATGATAATTCCACAGGTTCCTCTTCAGCTCACAAGCTGACACTGTGCCCTGCTCTGACCTTAAACTAGATTTACCTGTCAGTAACTCCTCTTCTGGGTTTACTGAATGTGCACTAATCTTACTAAATGGTAGGTCAACTTTTCCAGTTAATTAACTAATTTAAGATATAACTGCTGATTCACCTTTAATAGGGACTCATCATCATAGTTCTGCCATGTTGGTCATTTCAGCAGTCAGCCCCAGAAAAAAGATAGCTAAATAACCATATAGCTAAAAGATCATAGCTGGGTATAATCAAAACAATATTAAAAGCCTGTGTTCCACCTTAGCAGCAGAGCACGGAAAATTAGTGTTTTGGAACCTCTGTCTGTGTTGTTAAAAACGTTTATACCACATACTGTATGCACTCTTATTTTCTGTCTTCCTTCCAAAAAGAAAAGCTGAAAAAAATGTGAAATAGAAACAAAAATTAAATAGCACTTGTGCTGAAAAGGAAGACACCTCCAGGCACACTCATCTCTGCCTGTGAGCTTTAAGATAAGACCCGATTTTCTAAAAAACAAAATTCAGTTTTAAGGCTATACATACATGTGTTACTTGGCAAAAAGACATTATGAAACAACACTAAAAAAGGAAAAATAGTAGGAGCATCTGTTTAACAGTGATAAAACTGAGATGTGCTCTGATGAAAGGACTCACTCACAGTGATGAGATGCTATAGATTTTTCTTGAGAAGAAAGAAAATACTTATATTGGAAATAATAGTTAAGTAAATTCAGAAATGCATTAAAACATTTGTCTGAAATGTGAGAGATCTGGCTCAGACATTCAAAACGATCTAAGACCACATAATCAAATTAAGCTTGATTTTCAAGGCAAGAAGCAGATACACCACCTCTTACCAGATTCTCAAAACCTTTTTTCTCGTGGGGGGGTTGCCTTTGATCTTCAGGTTTTTGTTTCAGAATCCGGGGGATTTAAAGTGTAAGGCAGCTGTTCCCAATTCATGGCTGCATTACAGGAAGGCCTCAGAAAAGAAAACTGGGATGTGCAAGCAGATTTAAGGTTAAAAATGCCTTTGCTTCTAGCTGATGTCCCATCTTTGAAGATACAGTAACTGAACAGCACCACCCACTTCATTCAGTTACTCAATTTACACATATTCATACACATGTGCTGCTATCTTCTCAAATCCAGTCCCTGGTGTAATGGATGAACATTTCATAATTGAAGGTGTCCATTACAAATGTTTTGTGGAACGCAGATCAATTTCTTTGTTATTACAGTATGTTGCGTGTTATTAATAATGGAGCAGAATAAAAGAGTAGCATGTGGTGTCTTCAAGATATGGGGACACTGGAAGGAGTCCACACACCTGGGAACTACTGGTACAAGGAACTATCTTTCAGCACCTCCTCTGGCAGAGAATGAGACTGCACTCATTTATCTGCCAAAGAGGTCTCTGATGCCTGATGGTCTTCACACTATCATTACCACCAATGATTCCATCCATCTATTTTCTAAGTGCTTTATCCAGGACATTGTCTTTTGGGAGCTGGAACCTATCCTGGCAATCAATAGGTGCAAGTGTGACCACCGCGGTTCCGCGCGGGCTCGTGCCCTCCGCTGCTCCACACCGCCTGTTTCACCACGCAACACCTGGGGTGCGAACCCGGGTCTCTGGCGTAACGCAACAGGGAGCCAGCTGCATGAGCTTAAGGAGACCTCCCCCAGCCTGGGCAGCTGAGGACCCTGCTACGCGCGGGGAGGGCGCTGACATCACCGTGTCCAAACTAGCTCTGCTACACAAGGTACTGTAGGAACACCCTGGACACCACGTCAGCCCTTTGCAGGGCAACACTAGTGGCTGAAAATCACAAAACAATTTCTCTTCCTGGTACTCCGCTGGCTTGATGAATAACAACAGTGAAGTGAGGATATTTTATAACAAGTCAAATGGGCCTGGTTATCACAGTAGACACCTCTTCACCCAAAATGGTTGTGGGCGTATGGAGTAAGTCATGTTATCGAAGTTGAGACTAGATTCTTACGTGAAACTACTGGTTAGATACTAACAACCCAACATGGTACATGCACTGAATGGCCTTCTCTCGTTTGTAACCTCCTCATTACAAGAATGGGACATCTCCAAAGAGGCCCAAGATACTGTTAGAAGTGGTGTTGGTGGACCAGTAGGTGTCACTCTTTCCTCAAGTCAAGAATTTCCAAACAAAGTAAGAATATGGTACTGTATGTCACCAGTAAGGTGACAGAGGGCAATGTTTTGCTTGGGGTTGTATATTCAGACCTTCCTCAAGCTGCCCTCTAATTTAATTGGTGATGCATTTTTTTACTTCTCACCCTGATCTGCTGTGCCGTGGGCCTGCTGGTTCAGAATGGCATCTGTGCATCTTCCAGGCCAGGGGTGCACTTCAGAGGTTAAAAAAATAATTGATATATTTTATTACTACATTATCGTTTTATTGAACATTGTTAAAGCTGCTAAGAATCCACTGTAGATACTAAAATGGTCAGACGTCATATATTCAGTTTACTTTGATCCTATTGCATTTTGCTTGAAGGCAGAAAATAAAGGATACTCAAAATAAAAAAAAGAGCTGAGCCAATATTAGATTTGTAAAAAATGAGAGTTCTGAAGCAAAGTTATTTATGTGTTCAAAGTGTGCTCTGTCGTGCTGACAGTACAATGCATCTCTAAGGACACGCAATTCAAAAACAAATGTACTGTAATATAGCTTGAGACCAATACTGAAATGAACTTAACGAAGAATATCAATCTGATTTTTTTAATAACACTGAAAGGAAAATAGCCTCTCTTTTTGAGAGTAAAGAAGTAGAGAGAATGGATTTTATTTTGAAGAAAAGATTAAAAGTGAGGCAACCATATTCTAGTAGGGAATAGAAAACAGCACCCCTTTGAAAGCAATGCTTTCATGACATGCTTTCAAAGTGGAAACAGCAACTGCCTTTTTCCAAGCTGTCAAGAAAACAGAATGTAATAAAGACTGATGTATTGTCAAATACCAATAAAAGCTATTCTATTGCTGCAGCTACAATGGTTCACAATGGTTAAAAGGCAAGTGATTAAACTGGAGTATTTATTTTAATTTTTAAGACTTTATATGTGGAGCACATTACATTTGTACTGTATATGCACTGTTGCTAATGTTTATTTTAACACTGAACTATTCAATGTCAATTTTGGCTCCAAAATTATCTTTAAACAATGATCTACTATAGGTGCGTTATAGTTGGTACATGCTAAGTAAAATTTAATAATGAGCAAACCAATACATTATATTGGATAATTTGAATTAGTTAAAAGGATGTGATGTGAAGGTATTACTGTTCACAGTATGCCTCTTGAATAATCAAAGCCAGTCATAAGTTAAACAAAAGATTCCTAGACTGTATTTATAAATAGGAGGTTTCTGCATTCAACTGGCATAGTTCAGGACAACTTAATTACCTGGAGCTGTGAATCGAGTATAAACTAAGATGAATAACAGGATATAAAGTAAAGAGCCGCTTTCAACAACCTGCACTGTTAAAGTTATTTAAAATATAATACATACACATTATATAATATAGAATGCATAATAGTTAATAACATTATATATGTAAACATTATTTATTAAATAATATATAAGATAGGTAAAATCACTTTATTAGCCATATACAATTTCTTGCATTAGGAATTTGTCTTTGCACAAACCCCAGCTTGCTCTTCATGAGACGCACAGGCACACAGACGGGGAGAGGGAAGCTGGAGGTCAGAGCGCAGGGTCAGCCATTTATACGGCGCCCCTGGAGCAGCTGGGGCCTCAGGAGTAGGATTCCTCTGCCGGCTGCGGGATACAAACCGGCACCCTTCCAGCCACAGGCGCAGATCCTTAGTCACAGTGTCACCACTCCACGGTGTGTATAATAATATATACCCACATTTTTAATTAATCTAGCAATCAACTATGAAATTAAATTATCCATTACTTGCACATAAAGGGTTACTTTTAAGCACAACGAATGGCCACATATTTCTGAAGTCGTTTTAAGCTCCTGTGGCATTTCAGGTGGTTGTGAGGAATGATCCAGATGTTACTTTTCAATATTCCTGTGGAAACATTCCAAAGAGCCCTGGACTCCAGCAAATGGAGCCTGACCATGTAATTTAAATAACGTCTTCTGAAAAGAGAACGAAGTATGAAAGGTTCTTTCAAAAAGAGTGAATATTTGTCACATTTGTGAAGTAGCATCCCCCAGGAGCTGCTAAAATCTATAATAACATTTGAATTGGTTTTACATTTTTCAAATTTTGCAAATACTTCTTTGAATTTCTAAAATGAGAAATCACTGGGTTACTGCGCTGGTGTCTACCTTTACTTTTTTTTAAAAACAAATGTATTCAAGTTGTAATTCAGGTCTTCATAACTATCCTCAACTTAACTTTCTTGTACCAACTTGTACAGATAGAATGTCTGGGTTGTCTTTTATTCCTGGTGTTTATTGGCTGCTCTTTTGAATTTGCAGGATTTTCTTGTATTTTTACTCTTATCTGTAAGAGCAGAATGAAATTTAAAAAAGCCCATTTATGAATTTACATTTCACTCTTTAAATAGATTTACCGCATCATAAATTATGTTTTCTTTTAAAACAGATGTAAACAGATGAATTTTGTTCTCCCGATTCCTTTGTAAATGACATTTTACTTATTGAGACAAAATAAATAGTATCAGAATTCCTTTGAGTCCCTTGAATGCTACTTTTCGTTTTTCTTGTGTTCAAAGAAGGATCTCTCCAAGCAAGCTTCGAAGCAAAGACGAAAATGGAAAGTAACATTTTAAACAATTTTTATACAGTGCTCTAAGAAAAGGGTTGTGTTCAGGGTCATTTACGGCTAAGATTATGATGGCTTTGCTAGTCAAGAAAGGGCATATAGGTCTTTTTTAATATGCTGATTTAATACACTAAAGGGAATAGTGCTCGTTAGCCTTCTTTGTGAGCTGTTCATAGCCAGTCCATCCTATTGTTACTCAGGGAGAGAGGACCAGTTATGTAAAACAGCACTTACCAGGGGAACTTCGACAAAGGTCTCTCTAACTAAATGTTTGCTCATCCATCAAAAGTCCAAGTGACTGGTTACGTCTGAAGTACCTAACCCAGCACCCCGGAAGAGTGAACATTTGGCAGGGTGGTGGGGTAGGCCATGTTAAGCATAATGGGACAAAATGATTAACTCATATGTGTGATTTGGAATGCAGCACAGAAGTATGTAATTTTATCTACCTAAGAAAGAAAGCAATACATGAATATGCATTACACTAATCTCACGGCTTTGTCAGGGATGGCAGTAAACATTAGTTACAACACACATGGGATATAATATTCTGTATGCAAGTGTTTTCGATATTTGCTACTAACAAAGTCAAATTTATACAGTGGGAGCTGTTTAGTACACTTTTTCCTTGTCTGGATATAAAATGTCACTAACACATTATACCTTCTCCGATATGTCAGACATTAACATTATTTGAGCAAAGCAAGTAATATACTGTAGAGCAATTCAATCAATAGAGACATAAGAAGGTTGTAATAAACTTCACCAACAAACATGACCCATCATGACAGTGTGGTTGACTATATCTCAGTGTTCTAGCTGCCCCCTGTCTTTGCTGGAATATAATGCTTTTTTCACAGACCACTTTGAAAGTGAGGAAAAGACTTAATAAAAGCTGACAGCTGGCAGCTGTCCCTTCCTGCAAGAATGAAGTGCTCCATGCTTTGCATTTAAATTGCCTTAAACTAACACAATAAATATTTTATCACACACACCACTTCACAGGTTCCTTGGTGAACAAAATCATTAAAGTAAAAATGCCTAAAGTATTTTTTTTGAATGTGACAAAAGTAACAGAGTATGTACTCTTCAGTTCCATTGGATAGCCATTTATTAACATTATATTCACCTTTCTCTTACTGACTTGCTGAATAAGGAAGACTGAGCCCTGATGCAAAACTGATGCTTAACAAAATGATTTATTTAATATTTACCCAGTGACTATACAAGACATTATTGTATCTGCTCTAATAAATACCTCCTGGCAGGTAAATTCAAAAGCGTTGAAAAACAACAAGAAGTGTAAAACAGCGCTCTCCAAAAGCAGTGGTCAAAACTGTTATTGTTTTCAAAGAAAAGCATGTTTCTGTTAACTGCAGAACTCATTCTGCAGCTGCCATCATTAGTTAAATCATTAACAAAGACATGTGAACCAGTTCCACACCAAAGTTCTATGCACACACAGGCCGTGATATTACTGCTACGGTGTTCCAGAATTTACTCAGATGTACAAAGATGAACCAGGAGAGTACTAGAGACTACCCTACCATTACTAATGAATCTGTTCAAGTGGGGTATGATGTACATAGTACCCACCATCCCGTCTGAATTTTTCTGATCTCAACAAGCCTCCAGAATCTCCCAGCAGCTGTGGCGACTGCTCCCAAGACAGTCTCACCGCCCCCCCACTCTTTTCCTACCAGTCTAATGCATTCTCCTCCCTCCGTTTCCCATCGCAGTTACAGTCCCAGCTTATGCTGTATATAATCTTATGGCAGCTACAGCAATAGGTTTCCTCCACCATTTCAAGTACCTTTCCTTCACTGGCAGGAGGTGGTCAGCAGCGGCCTTTGACTCTTCCCCCTCCTATGCCTCTGGCCGCATGCACTGCTAATATTCCTACCTTTTGGGGGTTTCCAGCTCAAAATTCGCTCCTAAATTCCCCTAGTTAAATTCGTCAAGCGGCAGCTCTCTCCCACGTTCCTCGTGAGCCTACTCTTCAGGGCCAGCAGCTCTTCGGGTCGAAAGCTCCTTCCGCTACAAACGCAGAATTCAACCTCAAACGAGCTCGTTCACCTCCTAGTTCTGGTCGAGCTACGAGACACCAGCGCCTCCCAGTGCTCACTGCCGCCGTGTCCCAGTGCGCACACCTGCGGTCTGGCGCCCTTCGTGCTCAAGTCTGCGAGGGCTTTAGGGCGTCCCATTTCTAACCTTTCGTTTCCCAATGATGCTCACGAGTGCCCCCAGTGCGCCCTTCTCTGAAGCCCGCATCAGATTGGACTGCGCCACAGGGCATTGCCCCCCAGTTCTTTGCCGAACCGTGAGGTTTCATGTTCTCGCCTATCAAAGCAGAGAGCAGTGGCCATGCAGAATTTTTTCCAGTTTTAAAATTCATAAGATTTGATGTAAAAACAGAATTTCATTAGGCTACTTCAGATGCATTGCTCAAGTTCCGTATGTTTAGCATAGCTCGCCCGGCTAAGGGACTTCCTCAATACAAGGGTAAGGCTTCCAAAATCCCGCAAACAAATCCCCCAAAACACAGAGCTATGAGCGAGTTAATTTTACAGGAACT